CTCACCTGATATACAATTAGATATTTATGCAAAACATTTTTTCTTTGTTCTTTCAGGGACCAGAGACTCGCACAGATTACAATCTACTCCACCAGGCGTAGAAGGGAACCCTCCTAGCCCCAATGAGGCTGAGGTTAAAGCTCCTGGTACTGAGAGCAGCACTGATGCCTTGCAGAATGGGGACAAAGATGATGAAGTTAATCTTCCCCAGAATGTCAAGAAGGTTTTGGAAGATAGCCTGATGAAAGAATATCAGAGATATTCACTGGAACAAGGTTACAACTTTTGAAGTGTTCATTTTAATATAGATCACTTAGACCACAAGTCCGTAATGTTTTGGTAATATTGATAAAAAAATTTTATATCTCATTCTACTTTTCAATTACAATTCTACTTGGTATAGTAAAGTAAGTAAAGTACCCTTTCGGACCATGCGGTCTTAATGACAGATGATGTTAAGGTCATCTGTTTATTTGACCACAGCTAATGGTCAGCACAACAACTATTGTCAGAGTTGGGTAGACTCAGGAGCGCCCTAAAAATCCTGAAATTCAAAATCCAGTTTTCACTGAGATTCGAACCCAGGACCCCAGGTTCGGAAGCCAAGTGCTTAACTATGTGCCCCCACATATCTCATATAACATCATTTATATATCATTGTGTTACATATCACTTCCTTGTGTTTATGCTGGTCGAGTATTTCATGTGAAGATGCATTATTACAAGTATCGTAGATGTGCAAATACAATTTTAAAAGAAATCTACAAATACATTGCAGTACTGATTGATATTTAATAAATCTGTAATCCAGATAGCGCCAAGCCTCTCAAGTATCACACGGATCACTCCTTCGCCAAAAATAAAATGTACCATGTCATTCAGCAAGAGGATGAAGATGGTAAAACAAATCGTTTCATATTCGTCTTTGTAAGTTTGTTTTGTTTATTCAAAATTTTAGCTTTAGTTGTTGTTTTTTTCTTAGTTTCCTGGCTTACTTATTAATTCTTCATCTCAAATTACCTTATTTAGAGTAGCCAGAACTCTCTCTGGAAGCTAGGGATATATATATTCCTGATGATAAATGTTTAATGTCTAGTAGCTCTGCAAAAGAGCTCACAGCTCAGCAGCAATAAAGCTGGCTAGAAGAAGAAGAAGAATGTCTAGTAGCTAGAAAATAGATAATCAATCACTCATTGTTTCAAGCTACATCAAAGCACATGGTATTGTTTATTAGTGTGGATATAGCTATTATTTCTTATTATATACCTTCATGTTAAAAGCATCATGTACAAGGTTAATTTGTGTCTTGAATTGGGTCGGAGCAAGGGCCTGAGAGGCTCAAATTCTCTCTTGCAAATGTCCTGGACAGAAACCCAGCTGTTGTGCACATATGAATATGAGGCATTCCTGACCTGACTGAATTCAGCAAGTCTTGGGCAGATTATGAATTTCTTTTTGGCCAGTGTTTCCCAAAGTGGTGTATGCATACCCCCAGAGGTATGGGAAGACTTTGGAAGGGGTGCTATGCTGATTTTTTTAAATACCCATTTATTATGTTCTGTTAATAAATTTAAGGGGGGGGGGGGGCGAGGGGTACTCAGCATTACAAAAATTATAAAAGGGGTACACATAGGTCAAAAATTTGGGAAGCACTGTCTTAGGCCATTCTTGTCATCCCTCTCATTATCAATGGACAACTGAAATAGTTTTTTTTTTTTTTTAATTAAGCAGTTCACTCATAGTTCATTAACAGTGCTGCACAGTGAGTATACATATAGAAATGTCTGTTCTACTTCATCATACCCAATCTTAATATATTTTCCAGGGTTTGAACAATTTTAATGAAGAGTCGTCTGAACAAGAGCGGCAGTCCTCTTTAGAAGAAAACTATAGCTATGTATACAAAGAAAAGAAAAACAAACATTCAAGAAATCCGCAAAGTTGATCAGAACCTGTTTTTATATATTAATTGATCAATGATATTCTTCATTTCATCTCTGGTATTTTAAATGTGTAATGTTGTTAATATTTTCATCGGTCCAAGTCCAATTCTGTGATTTTTTTGTCCAATTTTGTTGAATGTGGGGGAATATCCATGTCCTTAGAGTCAGAAAAATTTCAAAGTAGAACATTGCAGTATTAGGGTTATAATTGAATATTCTATCACATATATAAATTTGTAATCAATCTTTCCTGTAGTTAGCTTAAAAACACAAACTATAACTTGACATCATGTAGTTCTTCTAATTTTAAAATGACTAAACTAAATATATTCCTTTTCTAAAGTTTTTATGTGTGGATGTAGTGTTGTCTGACTCCTAGTTGAAAATATTTTGGTCTGCACTGAGAGTAAAAAACAAAATCGGAGACTTGAAAATTGTACCTGCTGAAGGTGACATTATTATTCATATTCTCGTAAGTCAATTTCTTACAAACATTTCAAAATAATAGAATCACTATTTGGACCTTGCTGTTGGGAAATCTTATAAAATTATGTATATATCTTGACTACTGTGACATCTTTATGTTAATTTATGTTGTACAAGTGTTACTTTATTTTTATTATATTTTTTAAATTTGTGTTTTCTACATAAGGAGGAAGGTAATAGTTTTTGGGGTGATTTTTTCAAAATAAATTTAATTTTATCATTTGCTTTGTTAGGCCGCTGAAGACTATTTTTATTTTTATGCTACTTGGAGAAATTTTCTTTCTTCACAAGTGGTGGGAATCCAGCAATACATCCAAGGATTATGTTTTTTTTAAGTTATTCATTTCTTACATTGCTACATCTAGATCAAGCAGTTTTTGTCGTTTTTTTTTAACAGAGGCCATATCTGTAATGAAAAAGTGTTTGTGCTTTTTGAGACAATTTTCAAATACAAAAATCTAAATCAAAATATGTTCCTAATATCGGAAATGGGCAACTGATAATGTTTTCCTTATCCAATATAAGTGTGTATATATATAGAGAGAGAGAGGTTAAAGATTTAAAGACATATAGGATGTAGCTTCTGTACAAATTTATTGATCAAAATTTATGTGTGTCTACTGCCAATTGTTCAATGCTTGAAATTTGTCTTTGTTATCTAGTCATGGAAAACAAAAAAAAAAGAACAACAATGCAGCACAATCCTATTCCTCTGAAAAAGAAATACACTGCCTTCCACTATGTTCATCTCTCTGCCACTAGACTATGTATCTCGTGTCCGTGGCTTTTCTTCTTGTATCATATGAGGCATAAATCTCAATTAAGTTAATTTTTAAAAAAATGTGCTTACATTGATGAAGTATAATATGAATATAGTTATCTACCTTGTATTTCATATTGATCTTTTAAATTTAAAAAAAAAAAGAACATCTGCAGCTACATCTTTCAAAGCACAAGGCAAGTTAAAACTTAAAATAACTGCTTATTAAAAATTTTAAAATCGAATTAATTTATAGCTTTTATATAGCGCTACTTTCATGCTTGTAGCAATGCTCAGGCCGCTATTGTCCAATCTCATTTGTGGACCAGTGTGGGGGGAGTGGGTATCAGGGAGAACGTTTTCCGTGCTGCCTTTAGGGGCTCAGTAAACACAACTCTGCTCCAGTTGGGTGTTGAACCTCGAGCCCCATTTCTTAGATAGCCAAGCCAAGAACACATTTGCCTCTTGACCAGGCTTGTTCAGAGACTTTATAGTGCCCTTCCAAACTTTCCTTTTAATAATTTGTTCTTTTTTTTTTTTTTTTTTATAATTTAAAATGTAGATCTTTTATTAGATTTGTTTGTTTCTTTAGAAGTTTTTGTTACCGTGACTACTGACACTGACCTATGTTAGTATAATATGTTTCTTTGAACTTATTTTGCCTTCTGTATGTATTGGTTTATAGTGAAAACATTTTTGTTAATGATGCCATTGAAAGGCTAAGCACAGGTTGTGCTCATCAGTATAGTGTATAGCCAATGACATACTGATCATAACCGAGTTTTGGCACCTAATTTCAATGATGTAATTATAAAAACTTTAACAAGGTTAACAATGACAGCCAGGGTACATGTTACCTGTACTTTGGTGTTTACCTTGCCTCTGAATGAGATCTATAATATTACTGCAATCATATTTATATTTCTTAAATCAGCACACATATTTCATGTGATACTATAAAAAATGTATCTCAGTTTATTAATGGAACATTACTTTTAGCCTGTGACACTTAATAGCCTCCCCTTATGTTAAATAACAGTTTCTTCTCTATTTATTCCCGTTGCTTAGGTTACGAAGTTGTGTTTAGGTTTTCATTGTTCAAATCAGTTGCAAGACATTTGGCTTGGATTGTCAATTTTAGTTCAAATCAATGCCTTTACTGAGATCTTAGTTTACTGCCCTCTTGACTCAGGCTAGTTGAAATGTGGATTGACTTAGACATCAAAGATTTTTATTTGTAGTAATCACTATTTGTATTTATTTATTTTTTAAATTGGATTTTGTTTTTATTTTTGTTTATAGATTGTCATTGTTAGGAGTGTATTAATGCTAACAAGATGAGCATTGACTCCCTTTACTCTGTGATAATTTAATGCACTTCAGATAGAAATAAGGGAGTGAAAAAAAAAAAACTTAGACATTCTTGAAGTAATTTTAAATTAAGGTTTTAGCTAAAGTATTAAAAGTATACCAGTACAATAGATGATCATATCTAGCTTGAACAGTTTGCTTTGGTTTTGCTTTGGTTCTTAACTCTTTCTCTCCTGACTGATGATGCCAGCGTTGATTCCACCAGAATGTGGTAAATAATTACGGAGAGAAAGAGTTAAATGGTAACTTTGTACATTCCTGGAAAGTATGAAGTTTCCATATTCTGGATTGGTTTTCATTGTGTACCTTTCTTCAAAGTTGCCAATCATAAATAGAGCAAAATTTAATCATTACCTCTTCCCTCCGTAATTATGTTTTTCCACGTTTCGAGGGAATTCTACATTTTGCTCATTACTATTTCACTCCCCTGTTAGGATTCAGCTTCAATAACTTTTTTTTTTTTTGTGATCAGAAAATGTTTTATTTGGTCTGGAATTAAAGGGGAATGCATGCCCTTATTGTAGAACAGTTTATACAACTAAACATTAGTGTAGATTTATAAGGTCAAATCAATGATGGTATTGTCAATGAGGAGAGAAAGAGTTAATATAGTGCTGCTGAGAGAGGTTCTGAATGTGCAAATGATTGTTGTACATATGAATCTATGTTGTATTTCTTAGGTATTTACCTTTTAATATCTATTTGCAATCTACTGTTTAAGTATCGAGTTTGCCGCAGCAAATTCATTCAAAAATGTTTTGTTTTTCTTTGAACTATTTTCATGAAATAATTATCTCCCTTATGTTGTGAATTTAAACACAAAAGTTGCATTCCAGTAGGACTTGAATTAAATTTTTTAATTCATATGGCAATCAAAAAAGTATGAAAATGTATTTGTAATTAATAAAGAAACAATATTTGTATGTCTACATACCAGTGTGAATGGGCTGTGGAGGCTTATAGTGAGGGATGGGACTCGTAGACAAGTTCAGCATTGAAATAAACTTTCTTATTGTAATGGGGCATTGAAATTGTTGTTTTCAATAGCAGAATTCAGGACAAAGTGCAAATAAAATCATGGTCAACATTGATGAAATTGTTTGATTTGTTGTATTCTTAGTTGTAATTTTGTGCACTCCCAGGGGAGTATGGGGGCTGCAACCACACCTCTTCACCCAACTTGGTTCTGAGCAGCTTTCTTCATCTGCCTCCACATCATCACTGATGCCAGACCTCTTCCAGGGTCGCTTGGGCCCACTCTCCTCTTTCCAATCAAGTAGAAAAATTGGTTTGTTTTGAAGAAAAATTAATTATTTTTGCAGAAGATATTCAGAGCGGTAAGTTACTTCATTTTCAATGTCTAAAGCAGTATCGTGAGAAAACCAGTGCAACTTTAAATGTTGATTACTTCAGCACAATTTTTTAAAAAAATCAAAGATGAATTTCTTGACAGATTTTAGCAGTTCAAAACCATTCTAGCATTCCTTGTAAAACGTCTCAGCACAAATAGTAACGAAATCCACATTGATCCATTAGGAATTGATACTGGATCTCTAGAAATGCAATGGATCGATTTAAAAAGTAAAGCTTAGTGGGGTGGAAAATTTACAGAGCCGAAAATCAAGTTTGAAGAGTTGGAACTCCAGAAATGTATGTGCGTAGCGCAACAAAAGTGGACAGCTTTAAAAGGAATGCTGCGGGTTGATTCTACTCATGGCATAATCTTCCAAATTGCCGCCAATTTGGCATTTCAATTGATGAGTATCTTGTACTAATCAAAATATTCGTGCTAGCAAGCATTCTCATGCATGAATATAATTAAAAGTATTTTAATAAGCCAACTATCAAATGAAAATGTATAGTCATGTTTGAAACTAAAAACAACAAGTTATGAGCCAAATGTATCCAAACTTTCTAAAACCTTGCAAAGCCATCGCTCCAATTGAATTTGTTTGCTCAATCGTTTGTTATTGAAATATAAGTTAATGTCAGTAAATGCTTAACTGCTTTAGTTATTGCCGAAGTACAATATAAGTATCTAATTGTGCCATATATACATATATATATATATAATGCCATATATATGTTTATATTTATAATCTAATTTGTTGTGAAAAAGACTTACTGTATATGAATAAATAGGTTCGTTTTTTTTTATTAAAAAAATTGTGTGCGTACTATTTATTGTTGGCAAGAATAAACATGTTGTGGCTCTTTAAAATTGTGTAAATTGTCATTTTTGGCTCTTCGACTCAAAAGGTTGCCGACCCCTGCTCTAGAATCTAGAATAAGCAAGTTAAACACTCGCCTAGCTAGATTTAGCTATCAAGATATAATTAGATTTTAGTTTTGCGTTTCTTGATTGTCAATTGTGTGACATACTTCCCCCACACTTTATCACACAAACTGGCACACACACACGTTAGTTAATACATAACATTGTGGTCCCACACGCTCATGGCTATAGCAGCAGGGGCCGGCTTTAGGCATAGGCAAACTAGGCATCGGTTCTAGGGCCACCGATTGGCAGAAGGACTCGCGAGACTTGGATGAAATGGCAAACATAGCAGAGATCTAAGGCACTGCAAGTTTATTTCAACGTCATTGCTAAGACCAATTTATTCACGAACGTTTACATCTACTTGCTAGACTACCTATATATGGTAGGAGACCATTTTGATTGCTTCCTTTTTGATGACAATGTGAATCGATAATTCGATGATGTTGTGTCGAAACACAAAGTGTAATTGTATTTTTTAATTTTTTTTTGCTGTTTTTTTTCTTTCTATATTTCATTTCGAGCCACCGAATTCACTTTTGGAACCTCCAATTATCTATGGCAGGACTTGATAGCAGATACATGTTTAATGATATTCTGTTGGTCATGATTATCAATGGAATACTCTAGATGTGGCGCTTATTCGTGTGCCTGTGATCAGAAGACATTACAGATTCACTTGTAAATTTAAATAAGTTAAATATATAGATACATACGCCTTACTTTCTTGTAATATATAAATATATATCCTAGAAATGGAATTGAGATGCTACAATAGGATCCTAGGCATCACTTTCAAAGACCGCATCACAAACCAAGAGATAAGAGACAGGGCTACTGCAGCGATCGGACCCCATGATGACCTGCTAACTATTGTAAAGAAAAGCAAGCTTAACATCTATGGCCATATGGCAAGATCCACGGGGGCTCGCAAAGACCATCCTTCAGGGAACAGTACCCGGAAAAAGAAGAAGAAGCAGACAGAGAAAGCCATGGGAGGACAACATAAAAGAATGGACGGGCCTGCCATTGAGAGAGGTTTTAAACAAGGGAATAGACATGGAGGAATGGAGAAAGACGGTCGACAGATCTTGCTTGGTGCCCCAACGGTCCAACAGACTAAGGGATAGGTAAAAGGTAAGATAAAATGTATGCATGTCCCGAATAAAAGTTTGGATCAAACTTAAAATCTTAGATCATGGCGGAGACCGCAGTGTCTATTTAACGTTCCTCCCACAACCGAAGGGCCCTAAAAATAGGCAAAAGAGTTCCTCATTGGATCTCTATTCAAGAAGGACACGTTTTTGCAAATCGAAAAAAAACACGTTTTTTTTTACAAAGATTTAAATTGAATCCAGTAGCGGCATAAGTCATTCACTACAGGTCTGGTTCAAGAAAAACTGGTCGACCCCACCTTTCAGTATTTTGGATGTCGAGTTTAACGATATAGCTATTGTAGTACCTGTTGTTCTTTTCTTGATGGTGTGGTAAGCGCTCTAGGCTGCCATTTTAATGGTCCTGCACTCTTCCCTTGTCCACCGCTACCCCCGTCGTCCAGCGGGACGTTTGGTCTAGGACAGGGGTTCTCAATCTGTGAGTCGCCACCCCCTAAGGGGTCGATTGACGATTTGCCAAGGGTCGTCAAATACTATCGAACTAATGGATTGTTTAGACTATTCTTCTTTTGCTGTATGTGTGGGGGGGGGGGGGTCGTGGCAGAGTGGGGGATTGTAAAAAGGGGTCGCCGAGCTTAAAAGGTTGAGAACCGCTGGTCTAGGATGTAATAGTCTTCAATTCTAACGGAGTGTCCGATACATGGAAAACAAAAAAGTGTGAATATCTTTGAATGTTTAGAATCGAAAATAATTTGTTTCCTTTCTTTCCAGCCTTACACTTTTTATTTTACTTTTGTGTTTCTTAATCTTTTATTTGTCACACCTCTATACCAAACAATTTCCGTTCACGGTTCCAGCGGTCTGTTCAAATTCGTGTGACGCCATCTACCGTGACAATATGACGTAAAATTTAAGTTTGAGACCAGCCTTGAGACGTCAGCTGCATTGAGGACGAGGGATTCAGAGGAAGCGAACGAACTGAAATAAATTCAAGATTGAATTAGGGAACAGTCTTACTGTTTCTAATTAAGTGACCTACCTAATTCATGGGCGTTGACAGAAATTGTTTTACTGTGTGTGAATGGGATTCCCCCTCTCACGTAATATATATATATATATATATATATATATATATATATATATATATATATATATATATATATATATATATATATATGGGAAACAACATTAAAGAATGGACAGGCCTGTAATTGAATGAAATTCTATATAAGGCAAACTGTACGGCAGTGCTGTACAACTGAAGAAAACAGCACACTTTTTTCCTTGGCACAGTCTGCAAAAGAGCTCACAGCTCAGCAGCAATAAAGCTGGCTAGAAGAAGAAGGATCTAAGGCAAAAAAAACCCAGAAGAATGGAGAAAGAAGGTCAACAGTTCAAAAGACTAAGAGATAGGTGAGGTTTGGTGGTTCATCATTTGATGACATTTACAGTTTTTAACCCTATTAACTTCACAAGGCCCGGGTTCAACACCTTGCCATAGAGATTTTGTTGGTTTATAAAAAGTTAAAATCGTACAAGTTCGTTTCATTTCTCTGGACAACTTTTTAAAATGCTCTTGTTGCTAGTCCTCTGTGTCACCCAAACTAATTGTTCAGAAAATATAGAAAGAGGTGCGGTGGTTGGGAGGTAAAGCGCTTGGTTTCCGAACCTGGTGTCTCGAATTCGAATCCTGGGTGAAAACTAAGATTTTTAATTTCGTGATTTTTTTTTTGGGCGCCTCTGAGTCCACCCAGCTCTAAAACATTATTACCTTTACATCACCGCTAGGTCTGAAAGATAAACTTGACTACTTTACACTAGAAAGGTTATTTATGAGTTGATACTTCGAGAGTGGAGGGCGCATACTTTTTTTTAGCTGCTAGCTCGTTTAGGATTTCACAAATGCGTGGGAAGCGTGGTCGAGAGGCCAAGTGCTTGACTTGGCTACCTAGAAGGGGGCTCGAGGTTCGACACCCGACTCGGGCAGAGTTGTGTTTACTGAGCGGAAAACCTAGAACCTAGAAAACTCCTAGATACCCCCTCCACCCAAATGGTCCACAAATGAGATTGGACCAAAAGCGCTCTGAGCATGCCGTTGTACTTAAATGGCAATAGAAAATATTTGGAAATGTACTGGTTTGATAACTACTTTTGATTGAAGAATTTAACTTCATTTATTTATTCGCCTTTTGATTGTACTGGGAGAAAGGCTGACGACTTAAACTATAAACTATAACGTTTACCGTCCACTTTACGCATTCGTCGTCTAGTAATAAACTTGAACCTAACTTGTCACTCAACAGAAAATACACGTAGTGACAGTTTCATGTGTTGGCTTAAAATGTGACAAACTTTATAGATTGCCTTTTATTGAAGCATTGTCTTGTATCTTGTGAAATATTTTCGATAATATAGTTAAGTACCATTATCTTCAGCGCCACCTATCTCTTGGTCTGTTGGACCGTTGGGGCACCACACTTTTCCAATCTTCTATGTATCTGCCTTGGATAGAACCTCATTCTATGATTGGCCCGTCCATTCTTTTGTGCTATCTTCTCGCTTTCTCTGTCTGCCTTTTTCTTTTCTTTTTCCTGTTACTGTTCCCTGAAGGAAGGTCTTTGCGCGCTCTGAGGACCTTGTAATATGGCCATAGAAATTTAGTTTGCGTTTTTTTTTTTTACAGTAGTTAGAAATCATTG